TTGACGGGGGTGGGGGGGGGGTCCGACTTTCGCTCGGCCCGGACGCGACAACCTCCTGGAAACAGCGCCCCAGTACGCGTCCAGGCCGCCGGGGGGCCGGGGGACGGGGGGTGGGGGGGTCGCTGAGGGCCCATAAAACGCCCCGGGGGTGGAAAAACGAAGCATATTTATTTCGGATATATTTTTTGTTTGAAGCCTCGGACAGAAGAATCTCGTCAATATCATACATAAAAAGCTGTGGCTATGGCGGACTTCGAGGAGGCGACGAACGACGGCGAGCAGGAGGAGGAGGAGGAGGAGGAGGAGCAGGCGTCTCCGGAGGAGAAGCTGCAGATCGTCCAGCACCTGCTGCTCTCGTCGCCGCCCGGCGAGTTCGACGACGTTTTGAGCGACGCCATGGCGCTCGTGCCCGGCGACCTCGTGAGCCGGCCCATGCTCGCGGGCATCGCCCGCGCCTACAACAACGCGAACCTGCGCTGCGCCCGGGCGGCGGACGGCACCCTCGTGCTCCTCTCGGAGCGCGGCGAGCTCGAGCCGACGCTCTACGCGGTCCCGGGCTCCGGCGCGTACCGCGTCGACCCGCGCGGCACCCGGAGCTTCGCGCCGCGCTCCACGCGAGGACCGTTCGAACGCCGTCGACCGGTCCCTTCGAGAGCTCGCCGGGGGACGCTCGCCCGTCCGAAGGCCGACGAAGACGGCGCCGCCGCGGCCGAGCCCGGGCGCTCCGGGTCCGCCGGGGACCCCAGAGACCGCCGACCGGGCGCCGCGCAGGCGTCGACCACGTCGCGCTCACCGCGGAGGCCGAGGCCGGCGGCGGCCCGGCGGCACCGGGGGCCTTCGCGGCGGAGCGCGATGCCGTCGCCGCCGCCGTCGGGGCCTACGTCGGCGCGCGCTACGGCGCCGAGTGCAAGTGCGGCGCGGTCTACGAGTCCGACGACGCGTCCGAGCTCGCCGTCGTCATCTCGGGCGAGTCCGTGAACTTGCGCAACTTCTGGTCCGGCAACTGGCGGTCCGAGTGGACCGTCGTCCTCGGCGACGGCGAGGCGCTCGTGAGCGGGGCCGTCAAGGTCCGCGCGCACTACTTCGAGGACGGCAACGTCCAGCTCCAGACGTCGAAGACGTGCGGCGAGGCGACCGTCGCGGCGGCGTCGCCCGCGGACCTCGGCGCGGCCGTCGCCGCGTTTGTCGAGGCCGCCGAGACCGACCTCCAGAACGGCCTCCAGGAGATGTACGACAACATGTCCGCGGAGACGTTCAAGGCCATGAGGCGCGTCATGCCCATCACCCGCACGAAGATGAAGTGGAACATCCACGAGATTTCCCTCAACAAAAACCTCCGAAAGTAGATCGCGCCCATACCTCCCGACGCGCCCATATCTCTCAGCGCGCGACGATGCTAGCGAGGGCGGCCTTCGCGCGTTCCATGTGGGCGAGGAACTCGTAGAACTGATTCAGGGTCAGCTCGAGGTAGACGCGCTCGAGGCCCCCGCCGGGCGCGTCGAGGACGAGCTCGAGCTGGAGGAACGTCCTCCCGACGGTGCCGGCGCCGGACTCGGACGATGCCGCCGTGACGCCGAACTTCCACTCGAGGTCGACGAGCCGCCGGAGCGTCTCTACGTCCGGGAGGAGCTCGTCGTCGTCGCCGACGCCGGGGCCCGCCCCCGGCGGGGCGACGGCGCCCTCCCAGAGCCGCCCGAGGGCCTCTGCGCGCGAGCCGTCGAGACCCAGCGCGCCCGAGGCCTCGCGGACCTCGCGACCCGAGCTGCCGCGCCGCGCCGCAAGCTGGAGCACCGCCTGCGGGCGCCGCGCCGTCGCGCGCGCGCGTCCGCGCGGCGGCTGGACGCGGGGCGGCCGCGCCACGAGGCCGCGCGCGCCGGCCTGGAGGACCGCCATGTTCGTGATCTTCGTCGCCGCGGCGAACTGCTTGAGCTCCGTCGCGACGGCGGCGGATTTGACGCCGTCGGTGGGGTTGATGACGAGCCGCAGCACGAGCTCGACGAGGTCCGCGAAGGACTGCCTCGGGAACTCGCCCAAGGCTCCGAGGTCGTCCTTCAGCTGGGCGCCGACCGCCTCTGAGAAGGCCGCGGCGAGTGACATCGTACCCCAAGAGACCCACGGCCCCCGGCGCCGCGGCGGACGCGCTTATCCACGGCCCCGGGGCTACCAGGGGCTGCCCCTGGAGCCGTTCCATGGTGGTGTGACCCGGCGTCGCGGGGAGGGTCGGTCATCGTCGCGTCGCGCGCGTCCGGCCGCGCCGTCCGGAGGAGACCTCGGTGCGGCGGCATGGGCGCGACGCCATCGAAGGAGGAGCCGGCGGCAAAGCGGGACGTGCTCCGGGCGGACGTGGACCAGGGCTTCTTCAGCTCGCTCTGGCTCTGCGGCGGCGGCGACGCCGTCGACGACAAGGCCATCGAGAAGGTGCGGAAGCACAACGACCGCAGCGGGGACATCCGGACCGCGCGCGTCAACGACGCCGCGCGAGTGACCGAGTCCGCGGACCTCTTCGTCCGCGAGTTCAAGCAGACGATGCGCGAGCGGGGGTTCGCGGGCTTCAAGTACAACCGCAACGGGCGGTCCGCGCCGCGCATCTTCCTCCTGGACACGAACGAGCAGATGGCGCGGCGCGGCGCGGGCCGGGCGACGCGACGCCCCGCGCGACGCCGCCGCGCGCCGCCGCAGGTCCAGTGGAAGACGAAGAAGACCGCCAAAGTCGTCAACGGCGACAAGTCCGCCCCCGGCGCCGTGACGGCCGCGCGCTGGGGGGGGGGGGAGCGCGCGGCCACCGGCGGCGCTGCGGACGCGCGCGCGCCGCAGGTTCGACGCGCTCCTCCTCGTCGACATCGAGGACGTGTCGCGCGGCTGCGAGGCGCGCGCGAGCCGGCTCCTCCAGGGCGACGAGGCCAAGCGCGTCCTCGACCCGCGCCCGACGCGAGCCGGGCTCGCGCGGCCGACCGCCGGACGCCGCGAGCTCCGCCGGATCGACGCGCGTTCCGGCCGATGTTTGGACGGCTCGGGCGCTCCCGTCGGGGCCTCGGCGGAGCGCCGCCGTCGTCCGTCGAACCGGTCCGGCGATCCGCGCGCGAGACATCGACGTGGACACGTGGCCCGCCCAGGTCCTCACGATCCACTGCGCGGCGCGGCGCCTCGTCGTCGGCTTCGAGACGGAGCAGCGGTGCCAGATGTTCGCCGACGGCCTCGCGCTCATCGTCGCCGAGGCGAAGGAGCGGCTCAAGCCGAAGGCGTCGCGCGCGGCTCCGGCCCAGGCGAGCGCCGACGACCTCGACGCCGCGTCTCGGGTCGTGCGCGCGTGAGCCGCTTTCTTGTGCCCGGGCTCCGAGTAGCGGCAAAGCCCAATTCGGAAGCTATTACTTCGACGGACTACGGTGGATCATCGCTGACGGACCTATGGAAACGTGCACCAACTCTCCAAGTCGAAATTCGGACTTTTTTTTTTCCGCGGCCCCGACCCCACTCCGTTCCTGCATGTCGCCGCACCAAATTGCATCCTCACAGATGAGGCACTCTATGCGCTCGGTCGTGGCTGCAAAAAGCTGGAGCATTTGTATTTCGACGCGAGCGAATCGCAGGCACTCTTCACGCGTGCCGCCGTCGACGCGCTCATGGCCACCCATCCGAAACTCGTTATCAAGACGCGTGTGGGGGAGGATGTTCTCGTACGGCGCGCGTGCAGTAACTAGCGGTCGAGCTTTGCGACGGAGAGTTTTCCTGGACTTAGCCTGAGTGAGGCAGGTCCTCTGCCCGTTCGTCCACTAGCCACGACCCCCGTATACTACGGCAGCTGAGGTGACGTGAGGATACCAGAGACGCCGGTGTCTCGCCACTGCGTATCCTCGATAGTTTTCAGCCCCGCCCTCGTCGATGCCGGCGAGCCGGGCGTACTCGTACGAGCAGGCGGGCCGGGCTGCTTCCGTTTCGCGCGCCGGGAAATCCAGGCTCCCGCGGCTGGACAGGCGGGGTATCTTAGCACGCGATGGCTGCGCAGCGGGTGCCCAGGGGCGGGTCCCGGCGGCTATTGTCTCAGCGTCGGCCGTAGCGTCCGCCGCCGCCGCCACCGTAGGACTGCATCTGCTGGAGCTCCGGGGGGATCTTCTGGCCCGCGTCGCCGAGGATCTTGCAGAGGCCCGAGGCCCACTTGGAGGACTTCTGCGTGAAGAAGGAGAGGGCCGTGCCCTTCTGGCCGGCGCGGCCGCAGCGGCCGATGCGGTGGACGTAGTCCTCGAGGTTCGAGGGGAAGTCGAAGTTGACGACCATCCTGCGCCGAAGACGGGCGGTGAGCCGCGCGCGCGCGCGCGGCGCTCTCTCGGTCGGTCGAGTCGGCGCGGCGTCGGCCGATGTGCGGACGAGTACGGTGCCTCTCGTCGAGCGCCCGGCGACGCGCGACGCGCCGTCGCCGGACCCGCGCGAAGGCGCGCCCGTCGGAGTCCGCTCGAGGGTTCGCGTGCGGCCCGGCGGCCGGCTTGATGTCCTTGATGTCGAGGCCGCGCGCGGCGACGTCCGTCGCGACGAGGAGCGGGCACTTGCCGGAGCGGAACTCGTTGAGCACCCAGTCGCGCTCGTCCTGGGCCTTGTCGCCGTGGATGCACCGCGCGGGGAAGCCCTCGTGCGCGAGGGACCGGGAGAGCTGGTCGCAGCCGCGCTTCGTCTCGACGAAGACGATCATCTTGTCGACGCCGTGCTCCTTGAGGAAGTCGGTCATGCGCCGGTACTTGGCGCCGTCGTCGACGCACTCGACGTACTGCGTGATGTCCTTGTTCGCGGAGAGCTCGAGCGAGCCGACGGTGACCTGGTAGAAGTCCTTGAGGAAGTCGTTGGCCATGTTGCGGACCTCCTTGGGCCAGGTCGCGGACCACATGAGCGTCTGGCGGTCCGGCCGGATCTGGCTCACGATCTTGCGGAGCTGGGGCTCGAAGCCCATGTCGAGCATGCGGTCCGCCTCGTCGAGCACGAGGTACGTCACGCGGCGGAGGTTCGTCACGCCGGACTCGAGGAAGTCGATGAGGCGGCCCGGCGTCGCGATGACGATCTCGACGCCGCGCTGCAGGTCGCCCGTCTGCGTCCGCTTCGGCGCGCCGCCGTAGACGCACGTGTTCTTGATCTGCGACCTGGGCGGGAAAAGGGTGATTCAACGTCGCTTCAACGTGAGTGTTCCGCGCGCGCGCGCGTTTCGCGAAACGCATCCACGCGAGACCGTTCGGAGGGATGATCGCTCGTCCAAAACTCAGCCGAACCGAGTGGAAAACGGCCGAGAGAGGAGCCTTTGAAGTTGGGAATTTCGCACCCTTCTCCTGCCCCGTCTGCGACGACGCGCCAAACTTGTCGCACTCGACCTTGATCTGCACCGCGAGCTCGCGCGTCGGCGCGAGGACGAGGACGATCGGCCCGTCGCCGGGCTGGAGGTAGGGCTGCGCGTTGATGTGGATCATGCCCGGCAGCAGGAACGCGAGCGTCTTGCCCGAGCCCGTCCGCGAGATGCCGATCATGTCGCGGCCGAGGAGCGCCATGGGCCAGCCCTGGGCCTGGATCGGCGAGGGCTCCTTGAAGCCCTGCTTCATGACCTCCGTGAGCACGTAGTCGGGCATGGACGCCTCCTCGAACGTCGACACGGGCTTGGGCACGCCGCGGCCCTCGATCTTGATCTGCTTCGACGTCCGCCACGCGTCCGCGTCGCCCTCGGACCGCGCGGTCACGTCCGGGTGCTCGATGTAGAAGTTCTTCTCGAAGACGGGCAGCTGGCTCAGGTCCCACTGGATGTCGCGCAGGCCTGGAGGAGGGGCGCGGCGCGAGGGTCGGGCCCGCGCGCGCGGCCGAGGCGGCGTCGCCGCGCGGGCGCGCGCCGGAGCCGAGGCCGCCGCCGCCGCCGCCACGCCCGCCGCCGAAGCCGCCACCGCCTGCGGGGGAACGTTCAGCGAGGGGATCGCGCGCTGGGCGTGGGAGCCGTGCCGAAGCCGCCGCCGTAGCCGCCGCCGCCATAGCCGCCACCGCCGTACCCGCCTGGAGGAGGGGCGCGCGCGAAGCTCAGCGCGCGAGCGCGGTCCACGCGCGCGGCCGAGGCGGCGTCGCTGCGCGGACGCGCGCCGGAGCCGAATCCGCCGCCGCCGCCGCCACGCCCGCCGCCGTAGCCGCCACCGTAGCCGCCGCCGCCGCCGTAGCCGCCGCCGCCGCCGTACATGGCTCTCGACTCACGAGCACCTGCTCGACGTGGTGTCCTTGGTGGAACTCCTCGGACTCGACGATGGCGGCGGTCCTGTCAGCGACGCCCGAGAGGTGGGAGCCAATGGGAAGCGAGCGCTTCGGAGAAGCTTGCCCCTGGTGTTGCCGGGCTGCCCACCTCGGCGCAGGTTCCTTCGGCGCGGCGCGCGCGCCGGCGGGCGCCACGTGGACCGTCCTGCCGCTGGACCCGCGGCGCATGCCCGTGCGCTATGGGAGGCCTCCGAAGCGGAACCGGCGGAGCCGGCGCTGCCGCGTCGCCAACGACGACGACGTCTGCGTGGGCATGTCGACGATCGGCGAGGACGACGTCGTCGCCGCGGCGGCCGTCGACGACCTCGAGGTCCGCGCGGGCGGCGCCGGCGCGGCGCACAGCCTGCCGCCCCTGCCGCGAAACGCCGGCGGCGGCGCGGCGTCCTTCGCGGCGGGCGCGGCGTCGGCCGTCGTGCTCGCGCGGACGCACGTGAGCCGCTTCGACGGCGGCCGCTACGCGCTCGACGCGGCGAGCGAGCGCGGCTGCCTCACGGCCGCCACGGACGGCGGGGTCGCCGCGGCCGGCGGCGGCGACGACGCCTACGCGCCCGGCTTCGACGTCGTCGTCGCGGGCCGCCTCAAGTGCACGGTCCGCGAATGCCTCGGCGCGGGCTCCTTCGGCGCGGTCTACCGCGCGGCGGGCCCGCCGCGCTGCGGCCGCCGGCGCGACTTCGCGCTCAAGGCCGTCCGCGCGGCGGACCTCGCGCCCGCGCGGCGCCGCGCGCTCGAGCGCCGGCTCACGACGGAAGCCGCGCTGTCCATCAGCCTCGGGACGCACCCGCAGCTCGTCGGCGTGCTCTACCTGCTCCCGAAGCTCGCGAGCGTGCCGTCGACGGCCGGCGGCATGCTCATCGCCATGGAGCTCGTCCGCGGCTGCGACCTCGGCGCCGCGCTCGCCGGGTCGGGCGCGCTCTACGCGGGCGGTGTTTCTGCCAGCGGCGCCCGCGGCACCGCTGCGTACGGGCCCCTGCGCGACGGTCCGGCCCCGGGACGGGGGGCGGGGACGGCGGGCACGGGGGTTCCGGCACGGTAAATGCGCTCAGGGCACGCGGCCCGGCACGGGCCCGGCACGCGGCACGGCACTCGGCACGGGCCCCCGGGCACGGGCCGGGCACGGGCCACGCGGCCCGGCACGGGCCCGGCACTCGGCACGGGCCCCGGGCACGGGCCGGGCACGGGCCGGGGAGGCCCGGCACGGGCCCGGCACGGGGCCCCGGGCACGGCCCGGGCACGGGCCGGGGACGTGGCCGGGGACCGCGGCACGCACCGTCGCGCAGGGGCCCCTCTGCGTGCGCGGCGGCGTGGTACATCATACCGCCGGAAAACCGCGTTCTCCAGCCGTCACACCCACCTCGCGCCCAAAACCAAGGGGCGTATCCGGCGCCATTGATGGTGGCGCGCGGTGGCCACAGGCTTGTACGCTGTAAAGGGACTCGGATTTAGCTAGGCTACCCTTCACTAAAATGGGTACTTGAAATTTTAAACAACCCCGACAACTAACCCAGTGAACCGCCTCCTAGGTGGTTGGGAAATGTTACCATCTCCTGTGCGCTAAACGCTCTCTGTAGCGCGAAAATGCCTGACTGCAAGTCAGGTGAAACGTCCCGGCTGGGGGAACGTTGGTATTTCGCAGGGACATCGGCGTCGGCAGATTGACTCGCCTTCCCGTAAAGGGCTACTCACACTCACATACTCATACTACTCATTACTCATACATACTTAGAATACATACTCATGATACTCATGTCAGAACGTTGGAGCCCCCTTGTCCAGCTCCAGCGGCCTCGATGCCTCTCTCGCCGCCGCCGAGCCCCCCGACGTCGTCGCCCGTCGAGGCCGCGGCACACATCCCGACCATGGGACACCCAAGGCCACGCATCCCGACCACCGGACACCCAAGGTCAAGACACCTGTCCGTCGGCGGTAGCTTCGTCACGGTCCGAATGGAACTAGCGCACCCTCTGATTTGTCTTGTGATGGCCCGGAATTTTTTTTGAAATAGCACCCCGATGTCTTTTGCGTGCTAAACGTGGACGAAGCACAGGTAGAGGAGGCCGAGGCCGAGCTCGGACAGGACCGCGTCCTCGCGCCTGCGAGGATTTGACGGCGAGAGGCCGTCGCGGCGGGGCGCGGTCCTGGGCCTCGGCGGGTCGGCCGCGGCGCCGCTCGCGTCGGGGGTGGCGAGCGCCGCGTTCGGCCGGGGCTCGACGAAGGCCCGCCGGGCCCGCTCCAGGTCTCCCCGCGCGCGGGACGCGTCGCCCCGCCGATGCTTGCGCGCGCGCGCCGACTTGCTCCGGAGCGCCGCCCCGTCGTGGGAGGTCATCTTGTCCGCCGGCGGCGCGCTCCGAGGCCGCGAGATCGTGTTCTGGCGCGAAGAAGGGTAGCCGTCGTCGCTCAGGCCCGACGCCACTGGCGCCGAGCCCTCGGGGATCGGGAGGTCGCCGCCCTTCGTGCCGCGCCGCGTGTCGAGGTCCATGGCGAAGGGGCGTCGCCGCGTCGAGGGCCGCTCGCCTGTAACGAGCTCGACGTTGTCGATCTGCACCATTGCGCCGCTCGCTCTTGGGCAGCCCCCCGGAGATTAGTGGTGCTTGGTGTCGTGGGCAGTCGTGGGCCGGCCTCTTGGTTCCGGCCTGCTGGGGCAGCCCTGGCATGGGACACGTCGCCGGGGCCCTGCTCGTCGCCGTCGCCGTCGCCCTGGAGGTAGAGATCCCGCCGAGCACGTCGGAGGCCGCCCCCACGTACGGCCTGAAGCCCGTGCAGAGCGAGGCCGACCTGCGGATCTGCGGCGCGCAGTCCGTGCGCCGGAAGCAGCTGTCCGGCAAGTACATCCGCGGCGTCGGCGTCGAGATCGGCGCCAAGCACACGCCGCTGCCCGTGGACCGGCGCGGCAACCGCGTCATCTACGTCGACCACAAGGACGACGCGGGCCTCGCGGCGCAGTTCGGCGCCGCGCCAGCGGGGCGCGAGCGGCTCCACGTCGACGTCGTCGACGACGGCGCGGCGCTCCGCAAGTTCGCCAACTCCTCGCTCGACTTCGTCATCGCAAACCACGTGCTCGAGCACCTGCCCTGCGCGCTCTGCGCGCTCGCGGCCTGGGCGCGCGTGCTCAAGCCCGGTGGCATCATCTTCGCGGCGATCCCGAGCATGCGCCACACGTTCGACAAAGACCGCGCCGGACCGACCCCGCTCGCGCACCACCTCGCCGATCTCGGCGACCCGGCGCGCGTCGCGCGGAGCTTCCTGGAGCACGCCATGGAGCCGCACGTCAAGGAGGCGGCCGGCCTGCCCGGCGCGCGGATGACGCGGGACCAGGCCGCGGCCTTCCTCGCGACGCCCGCCGCGCCGGGCCTCCACCTCCACACCTTCACCCCCGAGTCTATCTTCGAGCTCGTCGTGGGCGCCGCGACCCGCGCGGGCGTGCCCGTCGCCCAGCTCGCCGCGTCGCGCGCGAACCCGACGGAATGCGTCGCGATCATCCAGGTGACGAGGGCAAACTCAAACTCAGGTGCCGTGGCTTTCACGGGCCGTTAAAACCGCCGGCGAAGCTCGGACGGTGGGCAACACCCGTTGGGGTGCGGGTTCGCACTGTGTCGAATCGCTCGTCGACGGGCCGGTTTTTGTTGCGGCACTTTTGTTTCACCATTATTATCAGCGGGCCCCGCATAGCCACGGATATCAAACCGCCATCATCAAACCCGGGCCGCGGAGCCATTCAAGTTCGGACAAAGAGCCGTTCCAAAGTTGGGCTTGGATCGTATTGCCCCCCTGTCCGTCGAATCATCGTGTGCTGACTGGACATTGCGTGTAAAGAATGGCCGGCCGCTGCCACTGCCGGGCTGTCGGACGGTCGGGCCGTGACGAACTATCGCAGCTGTCGGCGATTCTCGGTGTTCTGTCTAGTAAGTCCGAGGCTACTGGGAAGCTGAGGACATGACGGTCTAGAGGTCTATGATCTCGGGAAGCCGTGGCGGCAACTCAATGGCGTCCGAGACGAGGTTCTGGGCGCGGAGGAGCGGGCTCTGCTTGCGCGCGCCGGCCCGCTGCGGCGAGGCGGGGGGCGTCCGCCTGGCCCGGTCGAGGAGGGCCTCGGCGTCCTCGAACGACCGCGTCGAAGCGGCAAGGATGCGATCCACGCCCTCCTCCGCGGAGAGCGGCGGCGCGAGGGGCGCCGCGCGGTCGGGCGCGAGGAGCTTCGCCGGGGGCCGCGGCTCGTCGCGGCCCCGGTCGAGGAGAAAGTCATTGGCCACCTCGAAGTTGGAGAGGAAGAAGCCGAGCGCGCCTGCGCCAAGAACGACCAGTGAGCTGGGGGCGTCCGGCCAACCTTTAAGCGTCTCCATCTCGGTCAAATCGAAGTCGCTTCGACCGATTTTTCGAGTCGTTTCTTTCGTCGAGCTCGTGACGGACCGCGAAGAACAGTTGTCGAACTCGTTCGAATACGCGCGCATTGAGGTCGGCTCGAACGTCGTTTAAGTTTGGCCCGGGAGCGCGCTCGTCGAGACCTCGACGAAGTGGAACATCTGGACGTACTTGAGGTCCGTGGGGAGGTTCCTGCGCGCGGCGCGTGCGCGGGCCGCGCGGCTCGGGCGCGGGGCCGCGCGGCACGGACGACGCGTCGCGGTGCGAGACCTGCGCCGGGGCCCGGGGCCTCGCGCCGGCGGCGCGGAGGAGCCGCCGCGCAGCCGCCAGCCACCCCCCCCGCGCGCGCGCGCCGCTGCCGCCCCCGGGACCCGGCGGCGTCGGCGCTTCGGACGGCGCGGTGCACCAGCAGGTGGACGATGAGGTCGATGAGGTCGTCAGTCGCGAGCTCCGGCGGCGCGGGCGCGGGCGCACCCGCGTCCCGGAGGCGGAGGCGGCGCTCGTAGGTGCGCTCGACGTCGCGCGTGAGCTCGGCCGTGATCTGTGTGCAAATCAGATCTGCAACCCGAATTCGATGTGATCTCATTCGACAGTTTCGACACGATAACTTCTGCTGTGCTTCGAGAGCTCGACAAGAGCCAACGATTCGTCCAAAAATCAGCCAAAAAGACTTCGATTTGACCGAGCTGGAGAATTTTGAAGTTTGGTCGGGACGTCCCAAACCAGAGGTTGATTTGCACACAGGCCGTGACCCGCTTCATGCCGAGGAGCTTGTCGAGGGGCGACGAGGCGGCGCGGAGGCCCTCGGCGGCCGCGCGCGTCGCCGCGTCGAGGTCGCACGCGTAGCGCGGCACGCGGACGTCGCGCCGCCTGCGCCGGGCGCGACCTCGCCGAAGGGCGTGACAGGGGGGTGGGCGCTCGAGCGCGCGACGAGAGACTCGTACGCGCGTTGGCCGCGACCTCGGCGACCGAGGTCGAGCGGTCCGATGGTATGGTCGGCCGAGCGGGTCCGACTCGCCGGCCGCGTCCGGCGCGGCGCGCCGCCGGCCCGTCCGCGCGTCGCGGAGCGCGCCTGAGCCAAAAAGAATTCAACTCGACTTCACTGTGAGATGATTCGAACCGGCTCGACGACCGCGTTTCGCTGTCCGTCGAGAACTCGACGAGAAAAGACGACGCGTCCAAAAGTCAGCCGAAACGACTTCGATTCGACGGAGATAAGAGAGGTTCGAAGTCTGGCCAGGAATTCCCAGCTCACCGGTCGTTTTCGGCGCATGAGCGCGCCCAGGAGCCGCTGCTCGTCACGCGCGCAGCGCCGCAGGAGCCAGGGGTAAACGACGTCGTGGAGCGCGCGGAGGAGGTAGGTCTCGACGACCTGCGACACCCGCAGCGCCTGTGTGAAAGGAATCAGTGGTTCGGGGGGTGCTGACCAAACTTTGAAACTCTCAAACGCCGTCACGTCGACGTCGTTTCGGCTGCTTTTTGGACGAGTTGTGTTCTCTCGTCGAGCTCTCGAAGGAGAGCCGAAAGGCCTGGTCGACGAGCTCGGGCATTCTCATGTTCAAGTCTTTTCGAGAACATCCGGTGTCCGCGCGGCGCGGCGCGGCCGTCTCGCCGTCAACGCCGAGCGCGCGTCCCGCGCCGGCCGCGAGGAGGCCGTCGCGGCCGCGGCGCCACATGGCGAAGGTCGCGGCCTCCAGCGACGGCGAGATGGCCTCGAGGCCGCCGTCGGGCCGCGCGTCGGCGACCTGCGCGACGCACGGCGCGCGGTCGAGCGCGGTCCCGGCCGGACGTCCGCGCCGGCTCGGCGCGTCGGGCGCGGCCGCGCGCGAGCGCCACGTCCGCGGCGAACGCGTCGAGCTCGCGGAAGCAGCCCTCGAGCTCGGGCTCGCAGCGCAGGAGCGCGACGAGCCGGCTCACGTGCGCGCCGGAGAGCTCGTCGGCCTCGTCGGGGGCCGCGATGCCGCCGACGAGGGGCATCGACGCGCGGATCACGCGCATCGGGCCGCGCGGCGCCGTGGCCGCGGCGCCGCCGCGCGGCGCGGGGATGGCCACGTCCTCCACGCCGACGATGCGGACGCGCCGGGGCGCCGGCCCGTAGGCCGGGCCCGACGCGACGAGCTCGGACCCGACGACGGACCTGGAGACGGAAAGGGCGAGAACGTCCCGACGTCCGAGGCTCCGATCTCGGTCGGCGTCCGCTCGCGTCGCCTCGTGTTTGGACGAGCGATCGCGCGCTCGACGCCCTCTCGAAGCGTGGATCCTTTTTCTGGAACACGTGCGCGGAGAGGTCTCGAGTGGAAGCGAACCTGAATCACCCCGTCCACCCCGACGACGGACACGTCTGAGCGCGCGTCGCCGCAGAGCGGCACGAAGGACCCGCCGTCCCCGCCACCGCGCCCGTCGACGGCGCCCCGCGGCACGAGCACGTGTGCCCCCGCCTCGAAGCCGCTCACGGCGCGCTCCGCGTTGAGGCTCGCGGACCGCGGCGCGACGACGACGCACCCGCGCCTCAGGGCCTCCCGCCACACCGACGCATGCTGCGTCCGCAGGATGTAGAGAAAGAGCAGCTCCTCCGACTCGTACTCGAGGCGTCGCTGCCGGCCGCCGAGCCAATCGCTCAGGAACTCCATGAGACGCGGTCTGCCATCTCCTGTGTGGGCTGCCGAACCAGAGGGGGCCACCACCAGGCATACACCAGCCCGGAAAAGTAGCTTTCTAGTCAATCAAGATAATAATTGGCATAAAGGGTAGGTAGAGTGAGCCTCAAGGCCCACCCCACTACCCTAGTTTACTACCTAAACTCCCTCTCTCTAAAATAGGTTCGGCTGGCCACGGGGAGAAAGAATTCCGCCGGCGGGCAGCTTCAGCAACGCCGGCCAGATAGGAGCATAAGGAGCGAGTATCGACTGGGCTGCAATAATAAATAGCAGCTCATTCTCTCTCTCTCCTTTGGGCGCTACTTTCCTGGCTAATCGAAGATTACCTGTACAAAGTAGCTTTCTAGTCAATCAAGATAATAATTGGCATAAAGGGTAGGTAGAGTGAGCCTCAAGGCCCACCCACCACGAACTCCCCCCTCGGTGCCGAACGCCAGCAGCTCGTGCCGCCAGTTGATGGAGGGCCAGTGGAGGGCGGCGCCGAGGCGCCCGTGGAGCCCGCCGCGCCGTGCAGCCCAGTACTTAAGATTACTTACATGTAATTACCGAAGAATTTCGACACCTCAGCCCACCTCAAGAACACTGAGCTCGACGCCGACGCGTGCGGGCTCTCGCTTGCAATGCGACGCATGGTCGCAATCGCCGCTGCACTCGTCCTCGGCGCGGGTGCGGCGGCCTTGGCGCCGCCGTCGCCGGGTTTGAGTCCTGGTCGCGGCACGAACGCGACCTCAGCGCCGTCGAATCCGTCGAGCGGCGTCCTCGGTGCGGATGCGGCGGCCTTGGTGCCGCCGTTGCCGCCCTTGGGCCGCGACAGGAACGCGACGACGCTGCCCGCCCCGCCATCGAATCCGTCGAGCGGCGACTGCGGGCCGCGGGCAGACTTCGTCGACGGACCTGACGGCGCGGCGGTCGCGGACGGTTTGCTGTTCCGGCGGCGGCTGCCGGAGTTCGTCGAGGACGCGCGCACGGCCGTCGCGGCGCTGGACTTTCGCGCGAACGAGTGGTGCGTCTACTTCGGGACCTGCGACGACGGCGACGCGCCGCGGACGCGGACGTCGAAGACGTACCTGCCCTGCCCGTCGCAGCGGCGCCTCCTCGCGCCGCGCTGGCTCGCGGGCGCGGCCCAGAGCATGCTGCCCGGCGACCTCGGCGCGAGCGACGGCAACGCGCTCTGCCGCCTCGCGCGCGAGGTGACGGCCGCGATCGCGGACGTCGTGTTGCCGAGCCTGGGAGAGGCGCGGCGGTCCTGCGTCGTTCAGGAGCTCTTCGCGAACGTCCAGGACCGCGGCGCGTGGACGAACCCGCACGTCCACGACGACGACTTCTACGGCGCGATCTTCTACGTCGACGCGCCGGAGGGGACGCGCTTCTGCTACGACGACTCGCTCGGGACGCCCGCGCGCGAGCGCTGGGAAACCTACGACCCGGCGCTCGTCGGGCCGCTCGCGGAGACGCGCCACCACGTCGAGCCGCAGACGGGCGACCTCATCCTCGCGCCCGTCGGCTGGCTCCGGCACTGGGTCCCGCCCGTGGACGCGGACGGCCGGACGGCCGTCGTCTTCAACGTCGTCTGTCTGTAGGTTGCTTGCATATGTGGCCGCCGGTCTCTAACTCGGGGAAGGTGGTCCTGGGGGGCGTGACAGCGAGCGTTGCCTCGCCGACAAAAATCCAGTTGACTGTTATTTCCAGCCGAGCTGTAGCGAATCGTCGTGGCTTCTATGAACAAATGAATTACGTGAGGCTATCCTGATTGGGCGACTGTCAGCAGCGAGGTGCAGCATGCGTCTCGGTCTCGGCGGTCGAGGACACGGCGACGCGCGGGGCGTGGGCGTGCGGAAGACATGAGCGGGCGGCCGTTGTACAAGGCCGAAAACAAAATCTGAAAACGAATACTCTGGGGTGATATTTCCCTTCAAGTCAGCGTTTTGTTGAACATTTAATTACGACTTCCGACCCAAACCGGCGACCCCACACCCTTGAAATCTCTCAATCGATACGATTAGCGCGCTATCCCGATGGGCCGGCTTGGCCGGGGACATAATTCAACAATTTTGCCACGATTTCCGTCCGGTGGTCGACCCACGCGCGCGCGGTCGACGGAGGACCTCTATGACATACTACGGCCGGCGGCCAGAAAGAATAAATAAATACTTCTATGGGGCGCTCTAGCCCTATGGTTGTTTAGATATTATATCGAGCAATAATAATGTAATAATATAGATCTAAATGGACGACGACGACGACGACGACGACGAGCGGCCAATTGAGGAGGGGGGGGCGGGGCGGCGCTACGGCTGGCCCTTATTTTTTTTGGCGACGGTGTTCGGGGCCGTGTCCTGGACGACGACGGCGGCGGTGGTCCTGGAGCTGAAGCGGTCGCTGGGGACGAGCGTGGCGTCGACGGTCGAGATCGCCCTGTTCACGACGTGGGCGACGAGCCTCGGCGCGTCCTTGAGCCTCGTCGTCGAGCTGTGCTGCGGTGCATCGACCCGGGGCGTCCTCGCGCGGCTCGGGCCCGCGACGTCCGAGGCGCCGCCGTTCGTCGCTCTCTACCTGGGTTATATGTTGCTCCAGGGCTGCGCGCTGCTCTTAGTCTCCGCGACGGTCGTCGCGCTGGACTCGTCGGCGTCCATGGTGCTCTGGAGCGCGGCCCTGAGCGCCGCATACCTCGGGGCGGCGCCGACGCGGAACGAGCTCGCGGGCCTCGGCCTCATCGCGGGCGCGCTGCTCGTCGTCGGCGGCGCGGAGGAGGCGCTCGGCGGCGGCGACGACGACGGCGCCCTCGCGTCGCTCTCGGCCGACGCGTCGATCGGCGTCGGCGCCGCCTTCGCCATGGGCGCGCTCTACGCGGGGACGAACGTGCTCTACGAGCGCGTCCTCACCGCGCGGGGCGACGCGGTCCCCGCGCTGGCCCTCAACGGCGTCGTGTGCGCCTCGTGTTTCCTCCTCCTCACGGGCGTCGCCTACCCGGCGCTCGGCGCGGCCGGCGTGCTCGACTCCGGGTGGGCGTGGCTCGGCGCGATACGAGGCACGCCGGGCATGGCCGCGCTCTTCCCGGCCTTCGTCGCATCCAAGCTGCTCTGGTACAGCCTCGAGACGCTCCTCGTCAAGGATATGGGCGCAATCTGGACCGCCATCTCTGGCGTCGCGCTCATCCCACTCCTCTGGCTCACGGAGCTCGTCGCGCACTACGCTTTTGACGCCTTCTTCGGCGTCTCCTGGACAACGCCGGACTCGTGGTGCCAGCTCGCGGCCCTCTTCGCCCTCGTCCTCGGAGCTGTTATCTACTACGGGCTCTGGGTGGTCGTACCCGAGCCCGAGGAGACCGACGCCGCGCCGAGCCCGAAGCCCGCGGCGGAGCCCCTCATAAGCAAAACTAACCCTTGACGGAATAAACTTCACTGGGCTCGATGAACTTTGGGATATGAATGGCTGTGAGTGCGCAGCCAATATTGAAGAAGATGCAAACTTTAAAACGAATGGCTCGCATCGTTTATGATATATACGTTGGGCAATTATAATCACTACGGCTCATTTCCTATATGTCATGGGCCCGAGTCGCCGGCGGGTGAAATATGACGCTCGCCAGCGGGCCTAGCCATGCCCATGAAGAGGGAGTCACTAGGCTAATCACGTGCACTTGTGCCCATGGACCTGGGAATGTTTTAGCCCAGCTTTTTGAACTAACCCCTACAAGACGTGGCTAGGTATCAAGCGGCCGGGCTCTGGCATATCTTGGCCGAGCGCAGCCCTGAAATTGTACCGGGAATCACGTTATTCATCGTATGACGGAACCCAGCCTGAGTGCCGGGCAAGGCGAAGAACTTTGACAGTCTGATCGACTTCCGGACAGGAAAGAGAAAGTCACGAGGTCCAATGACAGAAAGAAGAATCCATCTAAGGCGATGGAACCTAGGCCCTGCGATTCCCCCTCTTGAGAGAGAGGGGGGGCACAAGTAATACTGCCTGTGAAGACAATGAGACAATGACCAAGCTTCGGACTCGCTAGAACTGTGTGCTGCTATGGGAAATGGAAACTGTATCTCTCCACGTTCTCCGCGCCCTCTTGGACATCGTCCTACGCGGGGAAGAGCATCACGGACATGGCGTCGCTCTCGCGGTCGTAGGTGCACCGGAGCCAGTTCCCGTTGGACGAGAACGATATCCACTTGCCGGCGTACTTGGACGGCTTGAACTCGTTCGAGAGGAGGAACTGGTCGCCGCGGCACGTCCCGGCGTTGTTCGACGTGCGTAGGTGGAGCCTGACGCTCATGGCGTCGCGCCGCCGCTCGTAGCGCGCGTGGAGCCAGCCGCCGTCGTCGGCGAAGGAGACGTACGCGGCGGGCGCGCCGCCGCGGAGCACGTACTCATGGGGCCGCCCCTCGACGGGAAGGAGGGTCAGCGGCATCGCGTCTCCCTCGTGGTACGCGGCGCGGAGGCGCCCGCCGTCCGCCGCGCGGCCGACGAACGCGTTCTCGGGCCCGGCGCCGGCGTCGTAGACGTTGAGGAGCTTGAACGTGCGGCCGCCGAGCGGGTGGGTCGGGGCGCCGCCGGGCGCCGCGCAGGGCGCGAGCTCGAAGGCGAGCGCGTCGAGCGCCGCGTCCGCGGACGCGTCGAGGAGCAGCGCTCCGTCGCCGCCCTCGCGGACGGTGACGTACTGCCGTCGGGG